ACTGATATTTAGCTGATAGGTAGATCTGTTTCTTTTCTGGTGTAGGAGGTCTATGTAAAGAGATCACTTACTGGTGGTTAATGAACACAGAAGTGACTCCTTTGGTGTCACTTCCTTGGGTTTTCTGGAAGAAGCGCTTTGGCTCACCTCCATAAAATCTAGGTTCCCTAGAAGGTGGAGGAGCAGAGGCTTATAAATTAGACATTATGGAAGAAAAAAAGATGAAGGGGTGTTATTGCCTCTCTTTTTTCTGATTTCTTATGGCAGTTTGGAGCCAACACTTTTGATGTGAAGGTGGTGTTTCAGAACATTGGGTAAAGAAATGGGAAAACAATCTTATTCTAGAGCAGGGCATTGAATATTATGAACAGGAGCAGCCTTTTGAACCACTTGGTGGTGATGGAGTTATAATCTATGGAAGTTCTCTTTCTCAGGGATTGATTTCAGAAGATGTTCTGGGTTCTTGTATGTTTTTTCGGGCTATATGGCCATGTTCTAAGGCATTCTCTCCTGATGTTTTGCCTGCATTTATGGCAAGCATCCTCAGAGGTAGTGAGGCCTGTTGGAACTAGGAAAGTGGGCTTATATATCTGTGGAATGACCGGGGTGGAACAAAGAACTCTTGTCTGTTGGAGCTAGGTGTGAATGTTTCAACTGGCCACCTTGAATAGCATTTGATGGCCTGGCAGTGCCTGGGGCAAGATAATGTTCTGTTTTGATTCCTTGGTCGGTGATGTGTGATTTAATAATCAATGATTTTCCTCAAGCAGTGCTTGGCATTACAGGTAGTTTGATTATAACTAAATAATAGTGGAGGCTGTTATTACTATCATCATCATCATCATCATCTTGATAACCCACTTTATCTCCTCCGAAGGGGGCTCAAAGCAGCTTAACATAAAAGCATCTGCATAAGAATTTAAAATATACAAATATGTTAACATTAAAACACGATGAAATATGAACAGTATTTAAAACTCCCCAGTTAAAAACCATTAAAACAAATTCAAAGTTAAAAACCACAGCACCCCTTGAATTAATCATTAAAACCATCATCTTTAAAAGCCTGCCTGAATAAAAAGGTTTTATCTTGCTGCCGGAAGGACAGAAGGGAGAGGGCAATTCTGACTTTCCTGGGCAGGGAGTGTCAGAGTCAAGGGACAGCCAATGACAAGGAAGGCATGCTCCCTCATTCCTACCAACGGTGCTTGAGATGGAGGTGGGACCAAGAGAAGCGCCTCTCCTGAAGATCTCGGGGCTCGGGCAGGTTCGGACAAGGAGATGGGGTTAGCCTAATAGCTTAGACCAGAAGCCTCTAGGACAGTGGTTCTCAAACTGTGGGTCCCCAGGTGTTTTGGCCTACAACTCCCAGAAATCCCAGCCAGTTTACCAGATGTTATGATTCCTGGGAGTCGAAGGCCAAAACATCTGGGGACCCACAGGCTGAGAATCACTGGTCTGGGGCTTTAAAGGTCATAACCGGCACTTTGAATTGTGTCTGGAAACAGACTGGCAGCCAGTGGAGTTGCTGCAACAAAGGAGTTGTCTGTTCCCTGTGGCCAGCCACAGTTAGCAACCTCACTGCAGCTCTTTGGACCAGCTGAAGTTTCTGAGCACTCTTCAGAGGCAGCCCCATGTAGAGCGCATTGCACTAAACCAGATGGGACATAACTAAGGAATGTACCACTGTGGGCTGGAACGGGCACAGTTGGTGCACAAGTTTTAATTCTGCAAAGGCCCTCCTGGCCACCACAGGTATCTGGGATTTCAGGTTCAATTCCGAGTCCAAAAGGACTCCCAAACTCTGAACTTGTGCTTTCAGGGGCTGAATCCCTATTCCCTGGTCTGCCTTCCAACTGAGGAAGAGTACCTCTGTCTTGTCTGGATTAAGTTTCCATTGGTTTGCCTTCATCTAGTCCATTACTGATGACAGGCACTGGTTTAGGGTCATTGGCATTGGGTGGGTGTCATCTGCATCTAGGTGGCATCATACTGGTTGTGTTTCCCACATTTTTAGTTTTGCGATGCTGACCCAAGCTGACCAACAAGTTTTAAATTCCTGTTTAGCTTGCATAGCAGAAGAGTTATATTAGAGTCTTTATTTTGACAGCACTATACTCAATTATAACTTTACTGTTGTTTATAAATACACAATTACTAAACCTCTATTAGATTGCATTAATACATAAAAATATATTAAAACCAAGACTAATGGTGACATACCAAGACTAATGATGACAAATCTAAATATGAGAGGAAACAAGCGCACATCCCAAATACAAAAAGATGCAGCCTTAATCATGTGGAGGTTCTAGCTGGAGCAAGACTGTGGCTGAGTATGGGTGTTATAGAGTATGGCTGTCATCCAAATATGAACAGTGAGTATATTTTAGTATGAGCCCATGGATGAAGACCATTCCAAATATTTGTTCCTCAGATTCTTCAATTTGAAAACTGGGTCTTTTATTTACTTCACCATGCCTAATTAAATATATAACATTCTTTCATAAAAGAATTAGCTGAAGTATCTAATTCAGTACTGCTTACTGAATGCGCATGGACAAAACGGTTCTTTTCCCTCATTGGGAATACATTTAATCTAGTAGTAGACATCAACTGATGGAACTGCTTCCATCAAAATAACTGGGTTGAAATCACCCCATTCCAGCACCCCAAACACCACAAAAACCTCTTCTAGAATGCCAAGAAATGCTTCAGAGCCAGTTTTCAGGCAGTATCTGTTACTGAAGGAAGACCCAGCACAAAAGGTATGGTGCCTATGGCCTAAGGCAGTTAAGATATTAAACAAACAAATAACATTGTCCTAATACTGTACTTCTAGCATCTTTTCAAAAGAAAATCAGCTCAGTTGGTGTGTCATTCAAAAATTACATTGTTGTTGTTCTTGCAATTGTTCTTGTTATCCCACCTTTTTGTCAACGAGGTTTACAAGAGTTAAAAAATACAGCTTTAAAATTCATATCATGCCATTAAACTAGTAACAGAATAAAAATCAATTAAAAGTATGACCATTACAAACAAAAAATACATTAAAAGTACATAACATTTTGAAAAGGTCCTTTCATCCTACACAAGCAACGGCCTGCTGAAACAAAAAAAAAAAGGTTTTGTGTGGCTAAGAAAGAATAGAAAGATATGCATTTGTCTAACTTTTAAAGAAAGTGAGTTCCACAATCTGGGAGAAGCCAATGAGGTGGCCCTCTTCCAATTTTCCACTAGATGTATTTAGGAGAGTTGGGGGAACAGATAGAGAGGCTTCCACAGAAGAACTCAAAACACAGGCAGCATGTATAAATTTAAAGACTTTAGTAAAAAAAAATCAACCCAAGAATCTGAGTGGACATATCCATGGGTCTTAACTCTTATCAAGAAAGGAACCATGCCCTTCTCTGACTAGAATGGTAAAACACAACTTAGTCAATTTCAGGAGATCCTAACAGAATCCCACACACCCTACTCTCTCTGCTGTAGCACTGCTTCTGGTCTTTTTAAATACCTGGTCAGAAAACTTGTGGTCAGGAGTTGGTGGCCTGCTGGAGCAGCCTTGATGCTTTCCCCTCTCTGTGGAATGACCCTCAATTTACCCACGAGTCATACCAAATAAATAATGTCCTCAAAACCTGCCCTTCACTTATAAATGAGGTTGAGTTATACATACATGAGTATATATAGTATATAATTTTCTTCAGATAGATTGGACCAAGTCAACCTACTACCTTTTTGGGCCTTGGACTAGAAATGTTTCGCTTTCCAGATTCTGCCTGGTGTTTCTAGGACCAAAAATTCCCCATCCCTGTTCCATGTGGCTTGGGCCGATCTGGTGTTGTAAATTTTGGCTATGCCCCACATCTTTTTTTCTGGATCACAATGTGCTTCTCTTGTATTGTTTATATACACTCCTACTCAGTCAATTTATAAGACTCAGACATGCAGACATGTAGGCCAACTTCTTCTCATTCACCTATGTCCCAGACTTGTTCGGGTGCCTGACATATCCAACAGCATCACAATATTAATTGTTACAAACAATATACTACACATGCTACATTTTTGCAAACAATGACTGAATTTTTATCTCGGATGTATCAAATTGCTGGAAAGTGGCTAGCGCTATTACATTACATCATACAAGTTAACTTAATCTGCCTGAAGATTGCTCCAGAGTCAATTAAGAGAGGACTAAATGGTTCATATATCTCATAGGCATCACAGCAAAGGTATAATGTGGATTGTAAATTAAAGTGTTGTTATTTTTTTTTTAAAAAAAAAGTGTATGGCTTTAGAACAATGGCACTACCTGCTGTAACTGGTCTAATTCAATTCCACTGAAGTGAAGAAGTCTGTATTTCTGTCTGTTACAGATACAGTTTTTCCTCCTATAATTAGGAAGCTGCACCAGCAAGGAACACAAAAGCTACAAAAAGAAATGAAGTCATTTGAGCAAAAAAGGATTACTAATGGCTAGCAGCAAAAGACCCGTACTCCAGATTAATGCTTTCTGAAACAACCCTTTGTGTAGGTCTTTTCTTCATTTTTGAAGAAACCTATTCACATATATATGTGAATGTGCACAACTAAATGTATAGATGCATCACATATTTATTTGTTTCTATAAATGTCGACTCTGAAAGTACAATTATGTTGATGAAATGCTTCTTTTTAAGGTATCTGAAATACAGGAACACTTTTTAAAAAGGTGAACGTATTCATACCCAGTGTTTCTAGGAGGTGGTGGGGGGGGGGGGGGAATCTAAATATTTTAATAAAAGTTCTACAATTTTAAATCTTGGTCCAAGTGTGCAAACTGTTTCTGTAAAAAAGGACAGTGGGTGCAAAACTGGGTGATGTATTTATGGTATAATTTAAAATGTACGTTATTTGATAACCCACATGAAACTTGCGATATACTTAACCCTCTCCTCTGCCCCACGCACAACTTCCTAGTAGGTTTAAGCATACATGGTGGAAACTTCACATACCTTAAGGACTTCCATTGGTACCTGAGTAGCAGGAGGATGGCTTGCTGGGAGGCTGACGTTGATGGCTGGTGTCTGACTCACTGCCACTCTCTGTTGCATGAACTGGGCGGCTTGCTGTTTCTGTTGCTGCTCTCGGCGCTCTTGCTCCTGCATCTGCTCACGCATGAGCTGCTGTCGTAGCAAAATCCGTGATGTCATACTGGAGGAGCTTAGTGGAGGCTTCGAAGCTCCAGGGTGCTCAGAACTGCTGCAGGGGAACACCAGAAAACACAGATAGCTCCGTCACTCACCAATTAACATTTCTTCAACTTTAAAGGGTTATACTGAAAGGGGGGGGATGGATTTGCTGAGCAACAAGAAGAAAATCCTTCACCAACTTTCAAATTTAATGGAAGTGGCAGGGACCGAGACTTGAAGACATAGGCCTATCACTGCCCTTTTGCTTTAATACCCATTAACACAAGGAGGCTAATTATTATTGCTACTTCACTACTTTGTAGAAGAGGACAGAAGTGTGTTTGATTTTTTAAGATTTTATTTTGTTTTATTATTGATTTGGTTTTTACAAACAGGACATCTTTTGCTACTTCTTAAGAACATCTGCTTATGGTGGTATGTTCAGACATTCAAATTAACCTCATCACTCTACTAATTGAGTTTATAATAAGTTTAGTTGAGTTCAGCGGGACTTGCTCCACAGAAACATGGCACGGAAATACATCCTAACATACTCTCGTAAACCCCCTGTTTTCATTCAGTTCATGTACTACTTTGAGGAACATGCAGGATGTGACATTGATCTGTAGCCCAATATAAAGTTATTTTTTGTTTTTAAAATTGATAGGCTGATGAAAACATTTCAGGAAAGAAAAACAAGCGAGCAGACTCCCTTCAGTTGAAGCAACCTCTAAGGAGGTTACTTTTAAAACTTGCTAAAGGTTTAACTTTAAAAATTAATGTCTTGGACACTCTGGTGCGTACACAGTTTAGTGGTTATATTTTCAATCATACCGATTTTCTGGGGCATATATGGCGATCATTATAAGCAGGGAGAATTTGTGCATTATTTTTTCCTACTTTATATGAAAAATCAATTCTGCCATACTATTTATTTATTTAAAGCATTTATATTCCACCCTTCTCACCTTGAAGGGAACTCAGAGTGAGCACAACATAAAATATGGCAAACATTCAATGCTGGAATAAAAATAAACTATAAATATACACAAACATTAAAATCTGTTGTATCCACTTTAACATCAAATTGTTAAAAACCATCTCAAACCAAATTATAAGTATTTGTGAATGTAAAACAAATTTCTAATAAAGTTTAAGTGCCCCTACGTAATTATTAAAACACCTGTTTAAACTAGACTCTCCTTTTAAACAGTAATCATGTCTACAGACACCAATAACTTTCTCAGTAAGAATTGGCAATGCCGTATCATATAGATCCTAACAAGTATTGAAAATGCAGGCGATATTTTTGGACAAGGCTCACTACACTCCAAGTGCCATTACTTCTTGGATGGTTCAAAGTCCAAAAAGGATACAGAGAAATTTTTTTAGTAAATTCTAGAATTGCTGTACATTACACGTATCTAAAACCAATGGATTTCAATACTCTCATCAAAAACTGGCAGTCTGAAATAGAAGATACAAATCAAATGAGATCGAATCTAGCTTTTTTGGACCACACGCTTTTTTGGGCTTTTTTCTTTTTCCCTTTGCAAAAGGATAGGGGGTAGGGATAGAGAATGATGACCGTCTTGCTATTTCAGCCCTGTCAAGTTGAAACATTCCCAGGGAGACTGATCCTTTTGATAAAATAAGAGAAAAACCTTTGTGGTGAAACTAATGCAGCTGTGGAATAATCGCACTAATTAGCTGCTCAAGAGAAGTCACTGACTGTGATAGTCGTGGAGAAGAAGGAATACTTTCAATTAACAGCAAAACATTCTCACGTCCCGTAAGGCATCCCTAGGACTATGGAGCACTTGAAGTGGGAAAGTTCCTATCATAGTAAACGGGCTTATTGATTTTTATCAAAGGAACAATATTTGTTACACAAATCCGACAATAAATGTCATCTTTTTTGTGGATCTGGCAAAGGAGGGAGGAAGATAGGAGAAAAAGAAATGAACAGTTTACAAAAATGCTTAGGGAAGAGCAACATTTAGCTTTCTTGCTCTGTGTGTTTATATATGTGCCTTCAAGACACCTGTCAATTTATAAATAGGTTTTTCTTAGGAAAAAGGATTCTCAGAAGTGGTTTTGTGAATTCTTTCAAATTCTTCTTGAAACAACTTTATATGTTTCATTAGTGGCTTCCCTAAACACTCACAGAAGTACATCCCTTATACATTCAGAAAAACTGCACAAATCTTTATCTTCGAAATGGGGGATTGCAAGTACAGGACATACTGAAATAAATTTGCAAAGTTGTGCAAAAAGTAAAAACAGTTTTAAAAAATTAATACGACTTTTTTAAATAACAGAGGCATTTTCAAACAGCTATTTTAAAATATGAAAGAAATATGTATGTTATCACCCATTTGACAATGTAAAAATTAAACACAGAGTAGTAGGAGGAATCAAGTTATCTCCAAAGGACAACGTCAAAACTACATTTCTGATGCAATATTTTCATTTTAAAATGAAGAGGTGTCAAATCAGTTTCTTTAACAATTTAGATTTGTTTTCCTTTTAAGGCATTCTGGAAATCACCAAGTAGAATCAGAAGAGGAACCATGGCTAAAAAGCTGTACTTATTGAAGTCTCAGTCAAATGCAAAATAAAATCCTCCTCCTCCTCCTCCTCCTGTTCTTCTTCTTGTTGTTCTTCCTATTCAAGAGAGATATTGACAAGCTGGAATGTGTCCAGAGGAGGCCGACTAAAATGATCAAGGGTCTGGAGAACAAGCCCTATGAGGAGCGGCTTAGGGAACTGGGCATGTTTAGCCTGAAGAAGAGAAGGCTGAGAGGAGGTATGATAGCCATGTATAAATATGTGAGAGGAAGCCACAGGGAGGAGGGAGCAAGCTTGTTTTCTGCTTCCTTGGAGACTAGGACGCGGAACAATGGCTTCAAACTACAAGAGAAGAGATTCCATCTGAACATTAGGAAGAACTTCCTGACTGTGAGAGCCGTTCAGCAGTGGAACTCTCTGCCCCGGAGTGTGGTGGAGGCTCCTTCTTTGGAAGCTTTTAAGCAGAGGCTGGATGGCCATTTGTCAGGGGTGATTTGAATGCAATATTCCTGCTTCTTGGCAGGGGGTTGGACTGGATGGCCCGTGAGGTCTCTTCCAACTCTTTGATTCTATGATTCTATGATTCCTCGTGTCCTTCTATTATGCCCTGTCTTTCTCCCAAAATTGAGACTGATATTATTCTGTTTATTTTGTACAGTACTGAATTTATTTCTTTATATGTTATTAAATGACTACAGATAAAATCATGTGAAAACTTTTTGTTAGAAAGTAATTAATAAAAATAAACAAAATGACAGCAGCAAGGATCAGTGATTTTGAGTATTTGACTATGTCTTTGGAGACCAGGGTTCAAATTTTCACTCACTCATGGAATTCAGCATTGATAACCTTATCTCGGATATGGAAACCAACTGATTCACTTTATCTCAGGGAACACATCTTACTATGAAAGCCCTGCTGTGATATGTTCATTTTAGGGGTGCCATGCATCAGAAAGGATTTAAAGGTACACAACAACAACAAGAAGGACAATAAAGTGAGGGACATAGAATCAGAGAGTTGGAAGAGACTAAAGGAGTAATCCAGTCCAACCCATTTGGACTCTTCTTTCAGAGGGACCTTCAGAGCCTGTAAACAAACATCAGGAAGGCCCTCTATATGCCCCTGTGTGGATGGTGGAACAGACAATAAAATGCAGCCTGAGATTATTTTAATCATGAATTTAATCATAAGTTGTTTACCAGAAATGAAATGTAAACTAAAAAATATTATTTTAAAACAGTTTTGAAAAACAAAATTTTAAAAATTAAAAATTAAGTCCATCTGGAGAAACATAGTTCCATGATCTCTACAATGACTGACTCTGTCTGAACTCTATTGGGAAGGAATCCCAGAATTGAGGCTGGACTGCTAATACGAGTAAATGTATGTAAGATTTCTTTTGGCAATAGAGCACACAACAGGAACTCTATTGAAAATCTCAAATCTAATCATGTGAAGATAGATATTCTGACTCCAAGCAATGTAGGGTTTTGTAGGACCTTGAATTAAACTCAGTAATAAATGGGAAGGTATTGCAACTGGCTCAGGATTGGTGGTGGTCCCTTGATTACACATCCAACAACAAGATGGCTGCTTCACTTTATGGAAGCTATAGATTCCAAGCACTTTCTAAAGGAAACCCTGCATAAAATGTATTACACTACTCTTAACTGAGAGATAATTAAGACAAGGATCACTCTGGCCAGTTTGCCTTCACTAGGAAGGAGCTTTGTAGGTACACCTGATCAAACTAGGGAAAGATACTCTGGACCTCCTCACTTTCAAGCTCTTCACAGACAGTGGCCAATCTAGAATTGGTTCTGATCCAACTCCCAAATCCAATCTATCTTTTCTATTAGCTGAACTGAACCTACATTTCTTCATAATTATGACAGTACGAAAGTATGTATAAACATCAGAGATGAGTTGGTGTCATGATGAGTTAGCTGCAACCATCTTGGGTCACATATTGATTATTATTTAATAATAATAATAATAATAATAATAATAATAATAATATTGGCAGGAAGCCACAACAGAAATTAAAATACACTTTCCAAAGTGTTTCCAAATTCCCAAATACTAATACAATCTACCCTTCATATTTGTAAAGTTTAAATTCTATGGATTTGATTAATATGTTCTCTCTAGAGATCTCTAGATCCTCCAGTGTAATTCTAGGAAGGAATTCTTCCAGTGTGGTTCTTTTTGTGGAAGTTGGCTATAGAGCAACTTGGGAGGCCATAAAGATTCCTAGAGAAGTATTCTCTCAAGTTAAAAAGTCGGGTTTTAAATTTTGTGTTTTTTCCATTTTTGTGGATCCTTCTAATGCAGTCATTCTCAACCTATGGGTCCTACAACTCCCAGAAATCACAGCCAGTTTACCAGCTGTTAGGGTTTCTGGGAGTTGAAGACCAAAACATCTGGGGGCCCACATTTTGAAAACCACTGCTCTAATGGAAGTTGCACATAGAATCATACTTAAGGTCCTAGAAA